TTTTTGAGAGAGACAGAGGGGGAGCAGGGGAAGGGCAGAGAGAGAGACACACAGAATGTGAAGCAGGCTCCAAACACTGAGCAGTCAGCACAGAGCCCAACACGGGACTTGAGCCCGTGAACTGTGAGATCATGACCTGACCGAAAGTCCAATGCTTAACCGACTGAGCCACCCAGGCGCTCCTGGGTGGTGGATACTTTAGAAGAAAGAGGGGGTGGAATTGGGGTGAAACCTTACAGGTAATGCGTCCTGTACTGTAATGGGGGAGGCCTTTTCAAAGGGGATCCCAAAGACATGGCGGTGCTCATAGAAATAAAGAAAAACAGATGAACCTGGGAAATGTGGGGAACACACTGCATCTCTTGTGCCGCTGCACAGAACTCTTTCACAGGGAGCACACACCCAAGCACACTTCCTGGATGAACAGCTTGTTTCTTTAAAATAGTATTTGCATATGACATCATGGGGCACCCAGCCAATTCTGAAGAGTTTGGCAACACGCCCCTGTTCTTGGGAAGCAAATGACTGGTTGTGTTGCTTCTCCTTGGGATTATTTATGGTGAGGAAACGTCCCAGGAATAAATATTTTAGTAATGACGGTACCAGAAGTACTAGCAAAGAAGGACAGACTCACACCCTTTGCAAAAGCTGTGCGTGTAGTGTTTGTACTGAGGGACGTTCAAAGGCATCTTCGTTTTGCCCAGAGACCAGATGTGAATGAGAAGTTCTACAAAATGGGGGGGGGGGGAGAGAATTTTTACTTTTCTCCCTTTCTCTCCCCAGAGAAGAAATGTCAATGAAAGACTATGAATTAGGGAATATTTGGCAACAGTAAAAGTGGAAGGGCCTGAAAAGGAATCTCCTTATTAAAATAGAATTGAAAGCAAAGAAGAAAGAATGTGAGAAAATTGGTACAAACGTTTATTCATTTACTAGATACTTACTGGGAAGCAATTGCGTCCTGGGACTGTGAGAGACAGCAGGGCCTGGGGTCCAGGCCTGTCCTCAGGCAGCGCACAGTCAGGCTGGGAATGATGGCGGTCTGAAAAACAGAAATAAAAAACAGATAGGGGCAAAGGACTAAGCAGCATGGGGGAGGCAGCCAAGTGGTTTTGCCTTTCTGAATTCTTCCCGACTTCCTTTTCTTACTGGACCCTGGAGGTGGCAATGCTCCCTGCGGACACTTGTGGAGAGAGAAAGCCTGATGGAAGCGCCAGAGGGCTCGGTGGGCTTTTCCAGAACAGCAGCCCCAGGGAGAGCACGTGGAGCTGCCGCCCCCGCCGCCCGCCGAAGGGGCTCACGGCCCATCTGACGCTCAGCCTTATCCTCCAGATGCCCGGGGAAGGCCTGGCCTAAGCCTGCATTGTGCCTGATCTGCATCGGGGGCGCAGTCTAGGGTGCGGGGCTCCCCGGAGCTCCTGCACCAACCTCTCTTCTCTGTATTGAGTCTGCAGGCGATCACCCAGTCCTGTGGCTTAAGTACCGTATGCATGCGCCCAAGATGATTTCTACCCCTGCCCGGACCCCTCCCCCGACTCCACACTGTGTGTCCAGCCAGCTCACGTGGGTGTCGCACAAGCATGTCCAACGCAGCGGGCTGCTCACCGAGCCCTGATGAGAGCCCGCTACATCTGTTCTTCTACATCTCACTTCATAGCAACCGCCCTTCTGCCAAGGGCTCAGGCCATCTTGGGGGCCCCCCAGGATGTCTTACTGTGTCAGCGCGCGTCGCATCCTGCCAGCCCTGTCTGTCAGAGCTCCCCTGAACTCCACCGCGGTTCCAGCCTCCGCTGCCGCCACCCCGGCCTGCGCCAGCGCCCTTGCCCCTGGACTACTGCACGCCCTCCGAACTGCTGCCCCTCCCACTGCTCCCGCCCCTCAGTCTCCTCCTGGTCTGGTGACTGAGTAGACTGTTCCTGTCCCCGCTCTCCCCAGTGGCTCTCACCTGGCTCAGGGTAGAAGCCACAGTTGGGAAACCGCCTCCGTGGCTGCTCTCCCTCCGTGGACCCTGTTTTCACCTCCCGCTTCTCACCTCTCCCTGCAGCAGCAGCTCCAGCTGTTCCCTGAATAAGCCCCGCACTCTCCCATCTCAGGGTCTCGCGCCACCCACCCCCTCACCTCCGGGTTCTTGAGTGTGCTCGTGGGGGGGGCCCGCCAGCCAAGGGCTGTGCCCCCACCGCAAGGTACCTGGAGGAGGATTTACAGAGGAGGAGGGGTGGGGGCGCAGGGGCTGAGCCGCCCGTCACCTGGGCCTTGGAAGCAGCTGGCTCAGAGCCCTGGTGTCTGTGTTCTTCCCGCGGCCTCAGGCTCCGGGGCGTTGGGAAAACTGTCCATGCGGCGTTTCCCCAAGGCTGACACCGGTGTCCCTGGGATGCTCTTCCAGCTGCGGACTGTCGTTCTGCAAGTTTGGGTGAACTTTACTGATCTTGTCAGAGAGTGTCCAGACGACGACCGGGACCCATAATCCCGCTGCAAGCGGTCCTGAGGTGGTCTGGGGCCGGCGGTGCTGGGAGGGGGGCCGGCCAGTCTCACGCCACGAGAAACAGCCACTCTCCTCGGGTGCAGGCAGTGACCACTGTGGCCCGGTTGCCACGTGTCCATCACGTGTCAAATGTGCACGTCAGAACAGATGAAAGGAAAACTGGTAGATCTGAATGGCTGCTGAGGCCGGCCTCCTCCGAGTCACAACCCTCCGCGTGTGAGGCGGTGGGGGAGGGCAGGACTTCCAGACAAGACTGTCCTGGTGATTCCCGAAGACTTCCCTGTGATCATCAGACCCTAGAAACAAGTCCTTGGTAAATGCCCGCATTTTTGGACTTGGTTACGTGAAACCTTTATTCTTTAATTTCTGGTTAAGTTTAATGGGTAGGTGGCTTCTAACTTTTAGTTTTAAGTTTCTCTGTCTCTATAATTTGTTTAAATTTTGCAACATGTGAAGTATCTGACTTACCAGAACTCCAAAATTTTAAAAACACTTTAAATAGCCCTTTCATACAGAGAACATGAAAGCCTCCCTCCCTCCCTGAATCATCTGGTCTTCACTTGACGGGCTGAGATTTCCTCACAGCATGGCACCCTGCGTTCCTCAGGTGATGTCAGTGTTAGGACAGTAAGATCCCGTACCCATAGACTAGGACTGGAAGGATGCTCCAGTTGCGCACTGAGCACCAGATGCTACATGCTACCATCTTCCTTTGCCTTGTCTTTGGTTCTGAGCAGAAACAGTTTTCTCTTGAATTTGTTTTTCTCCCTGGCTTTGATATTTAATTGTAACAGGAACCTGTTTGAACTAATAAGTAGGGATCTTAGAGGGGGACAAATGACCTTTTTGCTAAAAATAGAAGTAGTGGAACGCAGTGCTTAAAGAAATATGACTAAAAGCTGTCGTTTGCAGACTTTTGCTTCTGTTTGCAGTTGGGCTCATGTGTAAGCAGATTTAACTACCTAGAAGAATTGAATGGTTTGGTATATTCTTCTGTCTTCACTGCTGTTCCCATTTAGTTACGGGTAGTGAAAATGGGTGATCTGGTTCACTGAATTTCTGGCTTTTGATGAGGTCCAGGTGGCTAGACCAGAGGCAAAATGGACTCTGAAATGTTTTATTGCCTCTGTCTGGGGTGAGTCAGACTTTGAAGTAAAAAAGTGAAACTCAAGGCTTCCCTTGACTAACACTCTTATTATAAATTAAGAACATATTAGCCTTCTTGAGGTCACCTAGGTTCATTCTTTGTGCCCTCAGATTGGCCTGTGGTCAAAGGACCTGATGAATCAGTGAAGTTCTTTGACCTGCCATTTACAACGCTCCTCTAAAGCAAGGAAAAGCGGAAATTATTTTGAACAATGAGACACTGCCTGTCTCTTTAGGTGGAAGGTGCTTATATTTCCTCAGTGAGATTCTAATGAGGCAGACAGGGAAGAGTGGAGATGACTCCTCTATAAGTAATTAATTCAAACATAGCTCTTCTGTGTGGTGTATTTATACAATGGAATACTCCATGGCAATGAGAAAGAATGAAATCTGGCCATTTGTAGCAACGTGGATAGAACTAGAGGGTGTTATGCTGAGTGAAATAAGTCAGATAGAGGACAGATACCATGTTTGCACATATAGGTGGATTAGGATTAAGCTAACGGAAGACCATGAGGGAGAAGAAGGGGAAAAATAGTGGGGGAGAGAGAGGGAGGCAAACCATGAGAGACTCTTGAATGCTGAGAACAAACTGAAGGATGATGGGGGTAGGGGAAAGAGGAAGGAGGGAGATGGGCAAGGAGGAGGGCACTTGTGGGGATGAGCACTGGGTGTAATATGGAAACCAACTTGACAATAAACTATTTAAAAAATAAATACATAAATAAATAATACCTTTTCTACTTGAGATAAAAAAAAAACAACACAGCTCTTCTGAGACCATGGTCCATTTTTTTTATATTTAACTTTTGATTCTTTGTGCTATGCTTCTTTACTAACCCTTGCTTGGTCTGAAGAAAGTGACAGGTCACTTTTGTATTGCCACCCAGCCACAGTGGCACACTCATGGCAAGCACTCACTGCTCCTGCCCCAGGATCGGATGCTCTTGGCAAGCTGCCAGCAGAGCCAGGCTGGCCCCAGGGGGAGCAGCCTCAGTGATCAGTTCTGCCTCCTGTGTTACCCCTTCTCCTCCTGGGTCCAGGAGGGTAGCCCAGAAATGCCCCTTTCATGCCAAAGGTGGAAACACAGAAGAGCAAGCAGAAGTACACAAGGTGCGCTGAGGTCCGGGCTCCAAGCCAGCACACCATTGCTTCTGCTTTCTGGTGGGTCAGAGCAAGTCACATGGAGCAGGGAAACACACTCTTGTTTTGGGGGCCCCGGGGAGCTCCAGACTCACATGACAGGGCATGGATGAAGGGGGAGAGGAGCATGGGAGCCCTGAATACCACCATCTACCACAGTTGGGTCAGAGAAGCCTGCTCGGAGCTAAAATTGAATACATTTTAATTCTGTATAATTTCTCTCTTTCAGAAAATCAGAACCTATGGCTGTCTTTCAGATAACATTCCTCTTGGCATTGCTGTCCTTGAGAACTTACCAGACCAAAGGTAAGAAGTGGGAAGAACGGTAAAGAAAAAACAACAACAAAAAACCACATAGAGAAAAGAACGAGGTAATCGGTGCTTTGGAGAAAAGTTGATCAAGTCTTTTCTTTGGCAATTACCTGGAATTGGTAAGGGAGCTCACTCCACCACTTGGAATTGGTGAGGAGCAGTGGTGTGCTTAGTCTTGACTATCCTTTCCTTAGTCTTGATCACTTACTGTAATAAGCCGCACCATAATCTTGATTTCCTGGTCAGTGTGCTGGCCATCGAGGCACTTGTGAGTGGATCTAATCTGGGAGAACTGGGGGTAGATACGCTGTACGTGGCCATTGCCAGAGAAATTCTCCCGCACCTTGCCGTGTGGAGATGGGGTGCACTAGACCAGCGACGGCCACTAGGATAGAACAAGTTGAGGCCCTTCAGCTGGGTTCACAGAGAGGCTCTTTGCTGCAAGACAGTGTGCTGAGTACTGGAGTTCTGTTGATGGATGAAGAAATGGTGTTTGTCCCTTAGCTGCTCTCCCAGTGAGAGTGTTTTTCAAAAATCAACTTTGTAAATATCATAAGAATGCAGCACTTGTAGAATGTTTATAAATACTTTGTATATTCCTTTGAGCCAGCTTGACGGTACTCAGGCGTAAGTGAGTGAGTGAGTCTGTTGGTTTTTAACATTTGTTGGGGCACCTGAGGGGTTCATTTGGTTAAGTGTCCAACTTTTCAAGCCACGTTGGGCTCTGTGCTGACAGCTCAGAGCCTGCAGCCTGCTTCAGATTCTGTGTGTCCCTCTCTCTCTGTCCCTTCCCTACTCACACTCTGTTTCTCTCTCTCTCTTTCAAAAATAAATAAACATTAAAAAAATTGTGTTGCTTTCACCTGTATTTTACAAAACTTCGCCTTTTTGTCATTCTACGTTTATTTGCTATACTCCCTTTGTAACACAGAGCATAGACAGGCATATGCTCTTAGTCATTATTCACACAATTCCTTTCTATGGATTCATGAAAATGATGTTTGCAAGAAATACCCATAGAATTTTTCTATTTCCTTTAAAACTCTATGAAAAGATTTTGGATATAAAAAGGAGATTTTGTTCTGATAATAGCTCAGTTCTCTGATATTCTTTGGGTCTGGGTCTGTTTCTTTCAGGTTCAGGGTACATGAGAAGTTGCTACTTTTCTGACTTCTTAATATTCTAGTGTTGATAATACCCCATAATCTGGAGCTGAAAGATGGGAATTAGGACTTCTCATCTGTAGTCTGTGTGCCCCTCACTCTATCTTACTTGCTAAACGCGACACAACTGGACTGAGTGGGTGGTCCGTACCACAGGAAGGTTCAGGCCTGGCCAAAGCCCCTGATTCCCAGACAGACCCACACCCCTGACTCCAGGCTCTCCAGGAAATCCTAGGCATTTAATTTTGGGCTTTTGGCACAGCTCACTTCCCTAGTGAAGTCTCATTATCAGATCCAACGACAGTTGACTGTGTGGCTTCCATTTACAGCACACTCTGTTTTCAGAGGGAGCTCAGGGGGAAGAAAGCACACTTTCAGGCCCTTTCATTTAGATCAGATGTGCATATACCTGTTTCTTTACCAGTCTTCACTTGTGCTTCTGGCCTTCTCAGCTCAGCACACCTACTGGGCCAGCACCCTGTCTCTGTCCCCACCTACACTGCTTGGACTTTTTGCCTTTGTGTTTGCTTCATCTGCCAAGTACTCGCTAAATCTCCCACTCCATGACCCAGCCAGGCTCAGGTCTGAGATTCCAGTTCAGATGTCCCAGCTTCTCCCGAACAATGACACAGAGTCCAGACTCACTTCCAGTTAGCCCCAGGCTCACGTCCTCTTCGGTCAGAGATCATGACTGTGGCATTTGGTTATCTTTTCATCCATTCTCTTGTGCAAGTTATATACAGACAAAGATGGAGATGTTTTATATACATCTCTTGGTCTGTATATAAAATTATGTGTGTGTGTGTGTGTATATATATATATATACACACATATATATATATTATATTCCATAAAATAGTAGATCTTTTATGGAAGTGAACTGATACTATGTATGCTGGGAGTGTTTATACCATATAGTTACTTATTAAACTATATATAAAGTATGTATATTGTGTATAATATAAGTACGTATGCTGGAAAGTTATACTATAATTTCTTACTTGTAGATAAAGTGTGAAAATATATACAGGTAAGTCTGTATACTTTAGCAATACATACTTTAATGTATACTTATTCAAACAATACAACATATGATGAGGGTTTTTACCTTTGATGTTAAATGTTCTTCTGAAATAACATTTAGTGGCTTTGTGATGTCCCAACTTGTAAAGGGATGATGGTTTATTTTCTTAAGTAGTGTTGGGGCCAGACAGAGAAACTGGGTGGGGAAAGTGGGAGGAGAGTCTATGATGAAACCCGGGCCTGACTGATCGCCAAGTCTGCCCTTTTTGGCCACAGTCCAGGACACATTATAAAAAGAGAACTGGGCCAAGGGCCAGGAACCCCAAGCTCTGGTCTAATTGTGTGACCTTGGGAAAGTCCCTGCCCTTTTTTTAACCTCAGTTTCCTCACCTGAAAATAATGGGGTTGGACTTAAGAATCTCTGAGTTCCCTTAATCTGTCTGACTTTACCCTGACATTTCCCACTGTTTCCCGAGGAAGTCCTCAATTGCTTTTGAACAAATTATTTCTGACTGCTGTCTCTCAACTACCTGAGTCACTCAACACTCACTGATAGCGTATGTCAATATAGAGTTCCTCTTTTGCCCAAAGCATCACGAAATCGCTTTCTAGAGCTTCCAGAAAAAGAGCTGATCCTGGTGACTGACTCATTCATTCAGTAAGTGGTCATGGTGTGCCTACACTGTGACAGGTGTGCTATTGGTCTTGCCTTCAGTGAGCTGAGTAAGACTCGTCCCACCTTTCTTTAGCTGCAGCCCTTGGGGGGCCACAGAAGAGGCAGTTACAGCAGTCTCTGATCAGTGCTCCAAGGGCTTGGAAAAGCAGCCTTGGGGAGAAGAGAACACCAAGGCCGCCCTGCGTAGACGTGTTAGTGAGCCGGTGCTTGTCACGCTCCTGAGACCTTGTGGACGCCCTGGGTCTCTCTAATTTGAGGTCAGCATCTTCTGTGGGGAAGAGGTTGTGCCAAGTGCTGGGGACAAGAGTCCATTCAGAGATGCCTATGCCTCAGCCTCTCCCCTCCAGGACGTTTGAATCTAGAGTGTGAGACCGACGGCAACAAGCCGCGATTCCCACAAAATGCAGTGAGGGCTGGGAAAGACGGGTTGATTTACAGCACCTGGCATCCCCTGGTGCTAGTGGTGCCACAGTTATTAAAAGTATTTCCTCCTGGGGTCCCTGCGTGGCTCAGTCAGTTAAGTGTCTGACTTTTGCTCAGGTCATGATCTCACAGTTTGTGAGTTCAAGCTCCACATGGTGCTGTCAGCGCAGAGCCTGCTTCGGAGCCCCTGTTTCCATCTTTCTCTGTACCTCCCCCACTCCTCTCTCTCTCTCTCAAAAATAAAACATTAAAAAAATAAAATATTTCCTCCTATTCCATAAGGAATCTGCTCTTTCATATCCCTAAACCTCCTTTTAACTTATGTCTTAGGCTTGGAAGACTCACCCAACTGACAGGTTTAAGGAGAGGATGAATAATGGCTGTTGCCTTTAACTAAAGAATTGAGAAATTTTATTCACAAAGGAGAAAAAATCTCTAACCAAATAATAATACAGAGTGACCACCACAGCTTGGGGTTTGAGTGGGACGCTCAACCGACTGAGCCACCCAGGCGCCCCTCATTTATCTAGGTCTTAATTTCTTCATCTACCAACTGATTTCTAAATTCCCTTACAGATTTTTAAGAAATGTCTGATTCTAAGATGCACATGTGAGCAGTATTTTCCAAAACTAAACAATGGTGATATTGACCAGTTTATTATCTGCGACTATTCAGTTGTGCCTCTGTCAAGTTTTGCTGTTTGTATTAAATGTCTTGGTTTTGATCTTTCAGTCTTCTCTGAACCTTTGCCATTGGCCCCTGAATCACTGGAAGTTTCTGTCAATTCTACACATCAGTGTTTGCATTTACAATGGAGTGTCCACAACCTTACTTATCATCAGGAATTAAAAATGGTTTTTCAGATAGAAATCAGTAGAATTAAAACATCTAATGTCATCTGGGTGGTAAGTATATTTTGGTCTTTTTGGCTCAACATTTTAAAAATCCTTTTCTGACACCATGATTTGTCTTATAATTTATAACATTCGCAAAAATCCCAGTATGGGAACATTTTAGCGACTCAGAATGGTTTTCCTAAACAATTACATTTCTGTCTCTTTAGTTAAGAGGATATAGGACAAAGTAACACAACAGCTTTGGTTTAGAAGGTTGGATGAGATGTGTTAAGAAAATAGATCATTTCTTCATTCCTGATCTGTCCACTAAGAATGCTCTTGGGGCTATCCTTAAAGGTACTAGATTCCAAAAATCCATGAAGGACAACCTCTTTTTCCCTGTCCACCAGAGATTTTTCTTAAATAAGGTATAATTTTTTGGCAACTGTGAAAATCCTTATTTTCACAACCTCTTTGTCTTTGAATTATTTTGGATAGATTTTTCGCTTGTCTTAGTTCAAATCCTGAACCAAATCAACAACCATGTTGTGTCCATTTAGCTGATGCTTCTCTATCTGGTGCATTGGGCACTTTGGCAGTTTCTGTCAATTTCCATTTATAGTCTCTAATTTTATGTTAATTTTATGTTATTTTTTTATAACATTTATTGATTTTTTTTTGAGAGAGACACACACACACACAGTATGAGCAGAGAGGGGCAGAGAAAGAGAGAGAGACACAGAATCTGAAGCAGGCTCCAGGCTCTGAGCTGTCAGCCGAGAGCCCGATGCGGGGCTCAAACTCAAGGAGCATGAGATCATGACCTGAACCAAAGTTGGACACTTAATCGACTAAGCCACCCAGGTGTCCCGTAAATGCCACTGATTTTGAAGCCTCCAGTTACTTTCCATATTCAAGAAATGCATTTGAGATCTGAGTGAGAGGCCTAATTAAATATAACTCTGCCAATTTAGGATTGACACTAGGTCTACAACTCCACACATCCAAGGGTAGTTTCCAATGAGAGCTAAAAGCAGAAAGTGTTCTGATTTTAAACAATAGCAATGCTCATGGACAGCTGCTCACCGTCCACCATCGGTACATCTTCCTACTATTGTACCTCATGCTAATCATTTTTGTGTTTGCATATCTTTGACGGATACACTTACTTGTTGTTGATTTGGACCCAGTAAGATATTGCACAAAGGTCTTATTGAGACTAATTGTCTAAGAAAAAAATTTTGGGAGAAATGCTGGAAGAATCTGTGGAAAACCAGTACTTCACACCACTAGCAGAAATGACATTAACCGTAGCCCAAGTGGATCCCATTTTTTATTTTCCGAGTAGGCAGTGGTTCATATCTGTTTTCAGCTTTGATTCGTGTTAAGAGTTCTTTTCTCAGGGTAAAGCAGCTTGTGAAACCTGCTTCTGTAACCTACTAAGACTCAAGATCTTTGAGCATAGAGCTTTGCCTTGTCCTAGGTGGTATCCCCATACCACAGGCCCAGCCTGACGGGGACGGGAAATCCAAGGCCCAGAGAGATCTGTTGTGCTACTCAAGGTGACAGAGCCAGCTGGCGCTGTCCTTCTCCCACATGCCCCATCAGCGATGTTGGCCACACGCACTCCCCGGGACATCAGTGGCCATGTGCCCCACAACAATGCCATGAGAAGCCCTTGCCTGAACCTCACGGGCCTAAAGTCCAGGAGAGACATGAGGTTCTCCCTCAAGTGAAGGGGAAGAAAGCCAGCCAAGGGGTGCTGCTTCTGTCTAGAGCCCTGAGTCCCCTCCCAGATGGCACGGGCCACTCAGAGCCCTGCTGGCGGCCACAAGCTCTATGCCGTCTCCCCTGGGCCAGCTTCTGCCCTCAGTCTGGCCAACCTCTTGCTTTATGGCCCTATGAGTGGCAGAAGAAGGCAGAGCAGAGTGACAGCTCCAGCCCAGAAGGAGGCCTGGAGCCGAGTCTCAGGGCTCTGCATGCCTCAGGAGCCAGTGACCTACGGCTTCTGTCATGTGCCAGTCTCTTGTGACTTAACAGTGTCTGCCAGGGCTGGAGGAAACTTGCCGCTTCAATTACTGAAAACGGCCCAAACACAGTTCATCACTTTTTTTTAATCGCTGAATTGATGCATTCAAGGAAAATTTTATCTCCTCCATTGCGACTCTTTAACAGCACAAAGCACAAGTTGTGGTTAGAATCCACAAGTAGTGTCTGAGGGAAACCGAGCCCACGGCATATTAATGAAGTGATGAAATCATACAGCATCTTGTTGGAGACCGTGAACCTGGGCCCTGCCGTTAGTTCAAGGCGCAGGTCTGCGAGTGCTGAGCAGGAATGAGGAGGTCACACTCCCACAGAGGTGTCCTCGGCGTGGGAAGCGCAGTGCTGGCTGCCGACAAGGTTGCAGTGGGGCTGGGATTAGGCCTGACCTGCTCCAGCAACTTGTGGAAGGACCCTCGGAGCCAAAATAAGAGAGGATTAGAAGCTAATTTAGAAAGGAGGATGGAGAAGAATGTTCTGGAAGAGCCCACAGGTGTGAGCCAAGGCCCAGAGGGAAGGGCTGGGAGCTCCCAGGCCTGAAAACACTGAGCATGTGGGGGCAGGCATGACCCGGGTGGGGGAGTACACGGGACACTGGGGGTCATGCTGTAAGAAGAGGAGGAATGACAGGCTCTGGTTGGAAGTGTGTGAAAAGTCCACTCTGGCTGCAGGTGGGGAAGCTGGAAAAGGCGGAGTGTGACCCGTATGAAGCGGGCTGTGGGGTGGGTCCAGTAGAGAGGTGCCTGGAGTGGCGGGGGACAGTAGGGATGACAGAAGAGGCTAAATTTCAAAGAGATGCAGGAGATAAAATCCAGACTGTGGCTTGTTGACAGCAAGGTCTCCATTATTGATATAGTTCTGTTGTTTTGTTTTTGGTATTTGCTCCTAAACAATTAAATCAAAATATACTTAAGACTGCTCGTATTAAATAGTAAAAGTTGCAGAGATCAGGACTTCAAAACTTATATTTAAAAAATATGTTTTGGAGGCACCTGGATGGCTCAATCGGTTAAGCATCCGACTCTTGGTTTCAGCTCAGGTCACTATCTCGTAGTTCATGGCTTTGAGCCCCATATTGGGCTCTGTGCTGACAGCTCAGAGCCTTGAGCCTGCTTCAGATTCTGTGTCTTCTTCTCTCTCTGCCCCTCCCCCTCACACCCTGTCTCTCTCTGTCTCTGAAAAATGAATAAACCATAAAATATAAAAATAAAAAATACATTTTGTAGGTTAAGGATAAAGCAGTGCAATAAACTGAAATAGAAACATTGGTAACTCACGAGTCCTGCAGAGAATGGGGCCATGCACCCTCAGGTGCCGCCCCGCCCCGTTGGACTGAGGTGCTCTCCCCCCAGGGCTGGGTTGGCTTCTGCCTAGGGTGCTGGTTAAGGTCAGCAGCCTGGAAAGGGAGAAGGCGTCAGTGGAGCACAGGCCTCAAGGTTTGCCAGCTCCAGGTTGTGTGTGACATGCACATTGCCCCATCCTCTTGACTGTAGGGCTTTCACTTGGCTTTTAGAAATGGGGGTGCAGACTCAGTTTTCTTCAGGAAAACTGTGGGGGCAGAGAGCAGGTGTCCTGGAGGGGCCCCCTGAGGAGCATGCGTGTCCAGAGCAGTGTGGGACGTGAAGGAGAATAAAGCACAGTCCCTGATGTTTGGGGCCACGCTTGAGCCCAGGACACAGCAACAGACAAAGTACCAGCAGCTACACACCATGTACAGGAGGGCTTCAGGAGAGGCGGGGTTGGGTGGGACCTGGACAGGTTCCCAGTGGGCAGGGCGAGTGGGGACACTAAGCCAGGGGCCTTGTGTGAGCAAATGCTGAGCAGAAGCGTAAACCTTTTCCCAAAGTGCAAGGTAGAGCACTGTGTCCAGAGAGATTCCTGTGAGGGCCAGGTAGGTTGGAGTCAGAATGTAGATGGCTGTATATGGTTTAAAGGAGCCATAGAAGCCTATGGAATTAGAGAATGAAAATACCACTAAGTTAGAAAGGTCAGGTAAAGGCTGTGTGGGAACACCAGTTGCAGTTCAGTGTGGACAGACGTCCCAGGAGCACAGTGGAAGACATTCCTGTGTGGTTGACATTCTGACAGATGCTCCTCAAAGAAGAGGATATGGTCCCTGTGGCCCCCAGATCTATAAAGATAAGGGACCAAACCAAACAAAACAGAAAACAGACAACAAAGCCCACAGGCCTCATGGAGAGCCATCTAGTGGCTTCTGAGAGACGGTAGAACGCCTGGGTACCATGAAGGGCTGCCCTCTCTACTGAGACTTGGCTACCTTGATCTGACCCTGGCTAAAAATGAATATTAAAAAAAATACTCATCAGTCTTGCTTATATTTTTTTAATGTTTATTTTATTTTTTCGAGAGAGACAGTGTGAGCAGGGGAGGGTCAGAGAGAGAGGGAGACACAGAATCCGAAGCAGGCTCCAGGCTCCAAGCTGTCAGCACAGAGCCCGGTGCGGAGCTCAAACTCAGGAACTGTGAGATGATGACCTGAGCTGAAGCCAGATGCTTAACCGACTGAGTGACCTGGGTGCCCCCAGTCTTGCTTTTTTTTTTAATTTTTGTTAATGTTTATGTATTTTTGAGAGAGAGACAGCACAAGTGGGGGAGGAGCAGAGAGAGAGGGGGACACAGAAGCAGGCTTCAGGCTCTGAGCTGTCAGCACAGAGCCCAATGCAGGGCTCTAACTCACAAGCTATGACGTCATGACCTGAGCCGAAGTCGGAAGCCTAACTGACTGAGCCACCTGGGCGCCCCTGGTCTTGCTTATTTTAAAGAATGACTCAATTCTCTAGTTTACAAAAATTTTCTTAGCAGGCTCCGTGTGACAGTGCCCACCTTCTGACTCAGATCTCTTCCCCCAAGATGTAAGTAGCTTCAGGTTTCTCACACTTCCTCCACATGAGCCCCCTCAGGATCAAAGCCATAGGCTGCGGGAGCTGAGCTTTCAAAGGACAGGAGGCTGCAGGAGGTTCTGCTGAGGCATCCAAACAGGGGAACTGGCTGGTTGGGAATGGACTGCACTTGCGCATACTGAGAGCTTCAGTGGGCTCCCAGGTGTGTGCTTTGGGGTAACTGGTCAAGCAATTTTCCAGGCCAGCATCGCTCCAGGTGTTTCTCTTTATTTCTAGGAGAACTATAGCACCACTGTGAAGTGGAACCAGGTTCTGCGTTGGAGCTGGGAATCCAAGCTCCCTTTGGAATGTGCAAAACACTTTGTAAGAATGAGGAGTGTGGTGGACGATGCCCAGATCCCTGAGCCGAAGTTCTGGGGTGATTGGACTTCGTGGGAGGAAGTAGATGGTAAGAAGTGAGGTGATAAAAGAATTAAAGTGTTTAATATTATTTGGGGATCCATAGTCAAAGAGTAGAAGTCTCTTTTGAGGAGACTGGGTAGAAAAGGACATTATTTTTCTTTGTCTTCCCTTGGAACTCAAAACTATGGTTCTGAAACTTGACACCAGGAAATAGACATCTATGGTTTTGTCTCAGAATTTGTTCACGGAGGTAATTAGGCAAGTTCAGACAACTTTATATTTATTTTCCAAACATGCGACACATGGAATGCTAAGAAAACAAGGCAGGATGTAAGTTGCACAACATTTTGATTAGAATAAGACAAAATGTGTATGCAGCTAGAACAGAAGTTGGGAACCTTTTCTGTAAAGGGCAAGATAGGAAATATTTTAGACCTTGTTGGTCTTAGTCATGACTATTCAGCTGTGCTATTTTAACATGAAAGTAGTCCTAAGCAGTATGTAGACAAATGAGAATGGTTGTATTCTAATAAAACTTTATTTACAAAAACAGATGGCAGTCTGGATTTAGCCCATGGGCTATAGTGTGCCAATGCCTAACGTAGAGAGAAAGGAGTGAAATATGGAAACGTGACATCAGGTCTTCATTTAAGTAATGAGATTATGGATAAATATGTCTTAAATGTCTCTTAATTTTGATAATTTAATTTTTTTATAATTAAAATTTAAAGTAGATTTCTCCACAGTTTCTTCTGCTCTATTTAATATGTAGGCAGGTACTAAAGCAAACACATTTGGGTTCCTCAACTTACATACCATGCCAGAGTATCTGAAATTACTGCTTTGTTAAGTGTTTATGCAAATTTATTAATTCAAACTGATAACACATTAACCCATGAGTAGCCTAGTGATTAGTTTAATACTGGTAATAGAATTAGATCTATATTTTAGTCATATTTTAAGTATTCTATATATTCATTTAGCCCTCAAATCAGTCCTTTGAAATATGTATTAGTCTTATCCCCACTTCACAGATGAGGAAACTGAGGCACATTTAGCTTAAAGAACCCACACAAGGTCATCAAGCCGCTAAGTGATCGAGCCACAATTCCAGCCAGGACAGCCTGGCTCCAGGGACCACCCTCTTCACATCACATCCTACTGCAGAAAGAGGAAACGCAGAAAAAAACTGAGATTAAAAAGATAGTAAGAGAGAAAGAGAGAACAACATTATTAACAACTTTGATAAAATAGACTAGGTCTCTCAAAACTGTAACCTCCAAACTCCTCAGGAGCGAATGGAAAACCTGACTGATTGTTCCTAACCCCAAACGCTGGGTCTCAGCCATGGTTGCACATTAGAATCACCTGAGGACCTTGAAGAGCGCTCCTATGGCCAGGGTGCACAGCGTGGGTGACGCTGCTGGTGGCAGTTTCAGTGACAGCAGTGGGACGAATGAGTAGGAGCAGTGGAGCTGAGCAGTTAGAAGCGGGGGCAGCTTTGGGGCGCTGGGGTGGCTTTGGCTCAGGTCATGATTTCACTGTTTGTGGGTTCGAGCCCCGCGTCGGGCTCTGTGCTGACAGCTCAGAGCCTGGAGTCTGCTTCAGATTCTGTCTCCATCTCTCTCTGCCCCTCCCCCGCTTGCACTCTCTCTCTCAAAAATACATAAAAATGTTTAAAACCATTTTTTAAAAAAGAAGGGGGTAGCTCCTTCAGGGAGCCTGACGGTGGAGGAGCGGGTCCAGAGTGGGCTGGAGGGAGGCATGGAGAGGATGGCCAGTTGGCATAAAATGCAGGACACCTGAGGAATTTTATCCACTGATGGGCGGACAGAAGGAGAGACCATGGAACAGGAGGCATTTGAGTGACTGGCATTTCTGAGAAGGTGGGAAGAGATGAAGAGGGCCACACAGCCACGGAGATGAGCAGACCTGGCAGGTGTGACTGTGGCTTTGCCACTTGCTGGGTCCATGGGCTTGGGCTCAGTCCTGGCTGTGGTGGTGACATGAGGTGGTAAGGATGGCGTGAGATCGCGTACCTCCCGCTGAACGCAGATCCTCCCTCGTGGCTGCGGTCCATGGAGGGCGGCTGCTGCTGTCCTAACCAGACGCTAGCCGTGACCGGGTCATCCCAGTGTGACGGCACGAGCTGCTGGCGTCCGGCAGCGGCATTTGTGTGACAACAGGAGCCACCTTGGGAAGGACTCTTTCCGCAGGCTTCCAAGTTTAATGGTTTGCCTCGAAATTTAGGCTCCTATTCCTCTAGGAGGTAGAGGAGGCTAAATTTATCTGTTGAGAAGGGAGAACAGAGGGGCTGCTTTGAATTCTGAGTGATGTCTTTTGTTTATCTTGTAGTGCGGCGTTCTCTTGGACCCGATCCATTGTTCGTTTTCCCTAAGGATAAGCTGGTGGAAGAAGGCTCCAATGTCACCGTTTGTTACGTTTCTAGGAGCCATCAAAATAACATATCCTGTTATTTGGAAGGCATACTGATGCACGGAGAACAACTTGATCCTAATGTCCGTGTGTTCCATGTGAATAATGTTCCTTTCATTAGGGAAACTGGAACAAATATCTATTGTAAGATGCACCAAAGAGACGTTATAAAAGGCATCATTCTCTTTGTGTCGAGTAAGTATGCACGATCCCGCTGCTCTCTCTCCATTTCCTAGGGAATAGATAGACCGTCCTTTACCAGAAGACAAGTAAACATTTCCACTCCATTCCTTTGTCTCCCAGCTCATCTAGGAGAGACTCTGGAAAAGATCCTCTGAAGCTGTCCCTGCTGGATTTCCTGTTGTTTTCCTGTCCTTATGAACAATTATCTTCTAGAAACAGGAGTGTTAAAGGGGAGAGAGTTCAGGTCGTGGCCGGGACCACTGAGAAAGGCCCTGCCTCACCTTAGCTGTGCTGCAGTCGGACAGCAGGGAGAGGTTGCAGGTCAGATGTGTCAGGAGAGGCAGCCAGCGTTGTGCCCAGGAGACCTGGCTTTAAATCTTCCCACTCCCGGGCGTGTCACGTTGGCTAAGTCTCCTAGCCTCTCTGAGCCAGTTTCCTCCTCTGTGAAACGAGCCCGGAAATGGTGGTTTGAGGGTGAATGAACGTGGCCAGAGCCTGGCCCCGACGCTGGAGCTGCACGCAGTAGGAGTTTGGCAGATGGAGGCCATCCCTGTTCTGAGGTGGGCACGGAAAACGTGAGGTGCCTCCGCTGGTGCCAGCCAGTGGAGAGGGAACACTTTACTTTTTCCGTAGGTCTGTGTGCACGTACATGCCCATTGGCCTCCTGGGTTTCGTGTGGAGGCCTCCCTTCCCCTGCTCAGTAGGTAGGCCAATATCTGTGACTGCCCGGTCCCTGCTTCTGTTGCCACGGTGGGCTCCAGGCTCCCAGACGCCTTGTGGAGCTGTTCCCCTTGGAACAGCCTCTGAGAGCCACAGTGGCTCTGGGGGCTTGGAGGCACTGCCCGCTTCCTTAGAACCCCCAGCTCCCTGCAGCTGAGTTTAATGGCTCCCCGAATCTGACTTCCCAGCATCCCAAGCATGCTAGCCCTAGGCTATCTGCAAGCCCCAGCTTCCACAGGGAGAGCAGGCAACACTGACTGCATTCATGCGTTCTTGTGCTCACTCACTCTGTCTGACACTCGACGACTGGTTGAGTGCCTACTAGCAGGCACTGGCGGGCCAACCTCCATCACATAGACCCAGCGCAGATCACTGCAGAACTCCTACCACCAGTCTGCATCCCCGGTGGTGCCTCAGAAAAGAACAAGGAAAGGAAAGAGAAGGGGCCAAGATGAGGCAACTGAAATGGGACGTTCTGGAGCTGCGAGTGTGATCCTTTTATCATTCAGAGGAGCTCTGTGGCCTCAGACCCCAAGGGAGCTTTCTCCATTTTCCTTGTCTTTCAATAAAGAGACTTAACTAAATCTTTCATCTGTTTTCTTTGTGTGGACAGAAGTATTTGAGGAGCCCAAGGATTTTTCTTGTGAGACCCGGGACTTGAAGACTTTGAACTGTACTTGGGATCCTGGGAACGACACTGGCTTGCTCACACAGCTTACCCCCAGCTACACTTTGTTGGAATCGTAAGTTAGCTCTGACTGCATTCTTGATAGGTCTTTCCTTGTTTAAGGCACTTGTGCCAACAACAAGGGTCACATTTAGATGTTACAGAAAATGTGAACAAGTAGTTTACAACCACCCAGCCAGGGTCAGAAGATCATTAAGCAGTCACAACTGTGTAATACTGTACACCTGAGTTCCGTGAAATCGTAGCATAAAAAAGATAAGAGAAACATTTAATGGTGAATCTTGATGTGAAAATTGTTCCCTCTGGTGATCTGGGGATTTCTAATTTCTAACATCTTAAGAATATTTAAAATAAATTGAGGAGTATTCTCACTACCCATATGAGGGGGGCAGTCAGCAGATCATCCCTACGCACTTAACCACACAAAATAGAATTTGTTGAAACAACATCTTCTTTGTTGGCATTTGTTGATGACAGTGGATCAGTGCCACTGTGTGCAACATGGTTTGAAAGCCACCGAGTGTGCTCCAAGGGTACAGGGATACATATCTGTGCTGACAGAAGTGGAAACCCTGAATTTATCGATTGGGTGTGTTTTTCTTTTAAGATTTTCTGGGAAAAAGGCAATCTGTACGCACAAAACCTGGTGTAATTGGCAAGTAGCTCCAGACTCCCAAGAAATGTACAACTTCACACTCACGGCTGGAAATGACTTGAGGAAAAGAAGTGTTCATCTTCTTTTCAACCTGACTCATCGAGGTGAGACTAACATCGGAGCCCGCTGTGGTTACTGACTAGTTGTGTGACACAGTGTGTGATCAAGGAAATGTGCTATAGATTCCTGCCCGAGTCACATCCGAAGTGGACATTGTAATCTATATCTCTTGTTGATGCCACACTTCACAGATGCACACATGGCCCCTGGTCCCCTATGATTCGTTTTGGTACTGTAATAAGCACCTTTATGCCTACTACTCACCTTTAGATTAGAATTCTAACAATAACTCACTTCATCTCCTGCCCCACAGCCCTCCACCCTGCTCCTCCACCAAGATGATTTAAATTGCGCATGCACACGTGCATGTATGGGAATACGTATTCTCACTTATAATGTAATCCTAAAAATACTATATTTTTATTTTGTTTGGTTTTAATGTACATAAGAGACATTGAGCTATATGTAGTAACTTAGTAATTACTATTTATATAATATTAAATTGCTAACATTGACCCATATTATTGAGTGTTGTCATAATCTGTTGATTTTCACTGCCGTAAAGTATTTCGTTGTGTAAGTATATGGTATTTTGTCCAGGCATCTCCTTTGATGGTTTTTCAGGTTATATCAAGGTTTGTGCTCTTGGGTATGGTGTTCATATGAGCATTACGTATGTAGGACTTAGCTACAGTTGTTTCTCCTGAGTGAATACCTAAGAGTAGGATTCGTGGGGACATAGGCAATTGAATGTGCCATGTAGGAGATAATGCCAAATGATTTCCCAAAGTGGCTGTACCAATTATAACCCTGCCCTTGAACTCACGTAGTCTCTCCATGGTGTTCTGGTCACCCTTTTCATTTTTGTCAGCTTAATGGGTACACCGTGGCATTTTGTGGGAGTTTTGATCTACACATCCCTAAAATTGAGTATCTCTTCCTATGTTTTGACTACATGTTTTCTCTTTTATGAAATGCAGAATCTTTACACATGTTGTTCACTCTTTCTGGAATGTTCTTCCTTCCTCTTTCATCTTCTTAATTTCTACACATCTTTTAGATTTTCGCTTCATCACCACTCAGTCAGCCAGATAATTACAGAGTGCCTCTAGTGTGGCAGGCACTGGGGACCCGACAGTGAACAACTGGATAACTGCCCCTTGTGAGCTTGGCTGCTAGTGTGTGTAGGGGGAGGGGTTGAGAGCAGGGAGTGGAGACATAGAGTAAACACAGCGTACTTCAAGTTCTGACTGATCTGTGCTATAGAGAAGGTAAAATTCAGGTTTAGGGGAGACAATGGCTGGTTCAGTTAGGATGAGGGAGTCAAAGAAAGAAAGAAGCAGAAGATATCTAGGGGAAGAGCATTTGAAGCAAAAAGAATAGGGATTGAAAAGGTCATGGGATAAGACCAAACTCTGGGTGGCTTGAGAGACAGAAAGAATGTCCTCGTGCCCATACAGAGAGGAAGGAGATTTGGGGGGCAGGCAGTGTGCTGGTCATGCGACAGCTGTGGAAATGGGTGGTCTTACTGAGTTATGTTGGAAGGGGTTCATCAGGACAGATCCATGATGTGACTCACGCTGTGGGAACAGATCACTCAGGCCAGACCGTCCGGGTGAGGGTGGAGATGGAGAGCTGGTTAGGAAGCCGCTGTAGTCGTCAGGCAGACTCTGGACCGGATGGCGTGATGAAGTTGGTGGGGAAGTGGTCATATTGTGAATTCATTTTGGGATAGAGGTGGTGGGGCTTACTTAGGGAAGCCATGTGCCTGATAAGGAGAAGAGGAATTTAAGATGATTCCTTAGAATGATTCTGAGGGTTTTGGCCTGAACAGTTGGGCCGGTATTGGAACTGTTCCCTGAAATGGGGAGGGTATTGGGGAAGAGCAGCTCGGGCAAAAGCACGGAGTTCCACTGTAGCCAGGTCAGGGCTGACGTGTCTTTCAGATATCTCCACGGAGATGTTGAGGAGACAGATGGATATAGAGTTTGGAGCGTGCGGAGGAAGTCTGAGATGGAGAGTTAGACTTGTGAGTGAGTCATCAGCCTGTTGATAGGAACCAAAAAGGAGATAAAAAATGAAAGCTCAGGATAGGGACTTCTAGGATCTCCATCTTCGAGGTCAAAAACTCCTTTTACACATTCACTGCTGTGACCCCACTTTCAATATTATGTTTATTGTGTGGCTGTCAATACATGGTTGCTCCTTGGTTGCACTTTGAAGGCAAGGACCATGCCTGGTTTTGTTTTCCCTCCCATCTGACAGTTTCTGTTTTTATCGGTATGTTGGGACTATTTATATTTAACATAATTATTGATAGGGTTGGACTCAATCCTACCATTCTATTATTTATTTTCTACTTGTTCCCTCTGTTTTTTGTTCCTCTGATCTTCCCATCCTGCCCTCTTTGGATTATTTGAATACTTTTTTAGTATTCCACTTCAATTTATCTATCTATGGGCTTTTGCCTACATCTCTTTGTATTCCTTTTTCTCGCCCTCTGGAGATTACAATATGTTGCTAATCTTTCACAAGAGTTAGTATATCCCACTTTAAGTAAAGCATAGAAGCTCTACAACCACATGTCTTCCTTTACCCTCTCACTGACGATGCTGCAATACTTGAACTTCTGGTCTTCTCCAACCTGCCTGCTGCTGTCTGCCTTTCAGAGTTCTCAAATCGAATATTCGAGAATGCTCCATGCATTTCACTGAGAATATTTGAGAATGCTCGGGCACTGTATTTAACTGGATTCATGGTTTAGATGAGATGGGAGGTGCTTACTTCATTTTTCCAAGACCTGAACTCATCAGGTCAGTTTTTCATTTCAGATATTGTATTTGTTGGCTTCAGAATTTCCATTTGATTCTTTTTTTTAAAAATTAGTTTCTATTTCTCTGCCGAGAAGTGTTTTTCTTCTATTCATTTCAAATGTGTTTACTTTTATGTCACGGATCTGTCCTAAAGTCTATACTAATTGCAGCCTTTCAGGTGGGTCATCATGAAGTTGGCATCTGTTGGTTTTCTTTTCCCTTGGAAATTGGTGACATGTTCTGGAGTTTTGTAGGTAGAATAATTTTAGGTTGTACCTTTGATATTATTGATGTTATTTTGTTTAGACTTGGGGTTCTGTTAAATTCTCCCCATGAGCCACTTCTCCATGTTTTGATTCTCCTTCATAATCTGCCTGCTTTTGTTTAACTTTAGGAGTCCTCAATAGTTTCTTTTCATGTTTGTTCAGAGTTTCTAATATAATTGGTGAGAGAGAAAGGCTATAATTGGCTTACTCCATCTGTGCTCTAAGTCTGGTTTTGTTGCCATTCTTTCGAAACTAAACAAAACTAAATAAGTAAATGAAGAAATGCACTGCCTATTTACCAAAGTCTTTGGATTTATGCTTGAATTTCTTTAAATCTTGTTTCCTTTTTTTCTTTATTTTTTTGGCAGTTCACCCATTGGCTCCCTTTAACGTAGTCTTTAAAAATGTAAGCACCACAAATGCCACCATGGCCTGGAGGATCAACTCTGTTGGGAATTATTCCACACTGTTGTGTCAGGTTGAAGTCTATGGTGAAGGAAAAGTGATACAAGTAAGAATACTGCTTAATTTCTTATTTTCAAAAATCTCTTTATGTCCTGAACAGAGAGACTAACAAATAAAATGTCTTTAAAACCTTATTTCTGTGTGGGTTCAAATGGTATGGATCATCTGTTTACAAACAGTCATGAAATGAATCACAGACTTTAGCATCGGGCAGAAGGCCTTCAAGATTTTGTTTTTCACAAAGAAGTAGTCATAGCCCACATCAGAACGTACCATGCTGTGATTTGAATTAAAATGAACTCCTGTCGTCTTTCTTCTTTTTTCCTGTTTTCTTTTTTCCGTTCATTTCATTGATTTTCTTCTTTTCCTTCCTCCCTTCCTTTCTTTGAAGAAGCAGAATGTTTCCGTCAAGGTGAATGGCGAGCACTTGGTAAAGAATCTGGAGCCCTACACAGAATACGCGGCCCAAGTGCGCTGTGCATATGCCAGCCACTTCTGGAGATGGAGTGAATGGACTTGTCACAACTTTACCACGGCTGAAGCTGGTATGTTCCATTCCCTGCTCTTTAACTCAAGTATCTAAACTGACTCATGAAGGATGGGTTGGTTTCCCCAAGTGCTTTCAATTGTACCAAAAACTAAGGGGAAAACAGTACAACAGAGGCTGAATATCATATTTTTGTGTGGTTGTTTTGCTGTGTTTATTTTTTTTTTTAGAGAGAATGCATGTGAGCAGGAGCAGGGGAGGGGCAGAGGGAGACGAGAGAATCTTAAGCAGGCTCCACAGCCAGTGAGGAGACTGACTTGGGGCTTGATCCAGCGGCCTGGGATTGTGACCTGAGCCGAAATCAAGAGTCGGACACTTAATGGACTGAGCCACCAAGGTGCCCCTGAATACCATCTTTTAAAAAGAGAGCTGAGTTAAATGCTTGGTGAGATGTGAATGGGAAGACATCCACCTCAAACAGTGGTCATTCAGCATTATTTCTTTTGTGTACTTTCTCTCTCATCTTTGATTTTGCCAAAATGGTTTATAAGCTCCTGGCGTTGCTGGATTCCCATTGGTTTCTGGGGCTGTGTAAATTAGTATGGACTTTTAAATTAAGGACTGTGGACACAGAGTAGTGTTGGTGCCATGGAAGGCATTGATCTCATACTAAACAGCAGCAAACTATGAGCGCTCCCCCTCACTGCTGCAGTGGGAGGCTCCTCACTGCTGACGGAACAGCAGCTTTTTCTGACAAATAACTACGTCTTTCAGGCCAAATAGGCCTCGGGAGACTGGCCGGCCCAGCCCTGCTTTCCTGTCCTCCCAACTCAAAATAATAAATTACTAATATTGACCAGTTTACAGATGAGGCAACTTGGGCGCATAGATTGGAGAGACTCGCCTATTTGCACAGTTCATGAATGGCAGAGGCATAACCACGATAATTATTATTGTCGCAGCTAACACTGGGTGTCAGGCAGCTTGAGGCGCTTGCCGTGTCTTTCCCTTTTCCCTCTGCACAGCATGCAGAAGGCGCTCTGAGTAATTATCCTCACTTCCTAGATGAGGACAGGATGCACAGAGAAGATAAGTGATTTAATTGGCTTAGGCCATAAGTGACAGAGCTGTTGACTGTGACCCACTCCCAGGCCGCCTGACTCCAGAACTCCACCCTTAACCAGAACGGGATTCTGTGTGTTTTGTCTCTCTCTATGTTGTTATTACAGCCTTGAGATCGTGTTCATTCAGGTCCTGGTTCTTTTGCTGCCAAAGGAAGGATTTTATGTATTTATTTGATTCCCTCTTATATTCATGTATGTAGGCTGGCAGGGCCATTTCTGTGTATCCTCATGAGAACCATTTTATTTTATTTTATTGTTAAGTTTGTTTATTTTGAAAGAGAGAAAGAAAACAAGTGCACACACTTGCACAAGTGGGGGAGGGGCAGAGAGAGAGGGAGAGAGAGAGAATCCCAAGAAGGCTTCACATTGTCAGCGCAGAGCCCTATATGGGCTCTGGATCCCATGAACCTTGAGATCATGACCTGAATGGAAACCAAGAGTCAGAAGCTCAACCGACTGAGCCACCAGGCACTGCCCCATGAGGACCATTTTGAAGCAGTGACTCGAGCTCAGGGGTGACAAGGACAGCTGATTGGACACTACACAGGGGTTGGTCACTAGCTGTGCTCAGCGGGCTTCCTCTCCTTGTCTGGCATTCCTGCCCAGCCTCCCCCAGCCCTCCCCCACCGGGGCACAGACCCCTCGAGAATCTGCCGCAGAGAGCCCTGTGCCTGACAATAATGTTGTATACTCCCTGGTTATGTTTTATTGCAGAATTTTTACTCTAATGTTACTGGTTAGCTTTGGGGTTGTTTTTGTTTTTGTTTTTGGAAGTTTATTCCAACGCTATAACTAAAATTAAGTGCAAAAGGGAAATAGCAAACGGGTAGAGTTTTTAGTAAACTGTATAGACTTTTAGGTTATAGTACCATAAATTTGAAAATAATTAATGTTGCTTTTGATGATCACAGGAAAATGAGATGAATTTACTGGTGATGAGTCTATAGATTTTTTTTTTTTTACCTCTGATAACACTTTGCTTGATGCTGGAAAAGTCGACGCTTGTGTGCATTGTAACCATACTTGAGTAGGATTGTAGGGAGCAGACTTAAATGTCACCTGGGTAGAGACTGTCACACAGATATAGAGCCCTGTCCACTGGGCTGTGGGTGCTGTGCTGACAAGGACTAATTTATAAACCAGCTGAAGATTTTGCATTAAGCTTAGAGCCTCATGTTGTTTCTGAGTATTTCGATAAGTTATTGATTTAATATTGGCTTCTTCAGTGGCCTATTTAGCAAATTGAAATCTACTTCAGTACATTTTTTTTAAATATATGGTCATCTTTAAATTGAGGAGAAAGTGTCAGCCACTAAAAAAGGACTTAAATTTCAGTTATTAAGGGCATTAAATTATGTTTTTATAAAACGGCTAAATCTTCATGTATTATGTCCCAAAACAGTTCTTCCTGCATGGGAATGTTTGGAATCAAATCACTTGTCCTGCAGTTTGTTGGAGGTAAAGACAAGCCTTCACACTTTTGCAGAACAATGTAGTAAGGGCAGTGAACAGGTGCCCTGAGGCCGATGGGCAGGCAGTCGACCCTGCAAGCAGGCTGGGAGCTGGAGGAGAAAGCAGCGTGGGGAGGTGGGGGACGTGGCCTGTCCAGTGGGGGGAGATCGAGGAGGGGTGCCCAGGCTGTGACCCGGCAAGAAGACCAGCCAATGTGAAATCTTGAAGACATGGGAGGCCCCCAGGGCTGTCCACTAGCGCCTCCATTACAACCTTGCAAAGGAAGCAAGGAAGTAGCAATGGTCTGCCCCTCCTAGAAATTCAACAAATAAGAAATTTACCCTACTAACCTCCTATAGTTGGTCTAACTGATGAATGGTTCCAGAATTTTCCAGTGGCTTCCAGAAGCCCAGGCCCGATGTTCATAAGAGCTTTCAGTTTGATGCAGCAGACGTTTTGTAAGGCACCTACTATGTGCACTTAGGAGTGAACAATGTGGCCCTGGTCAAGTGGGTGGAAGTCACAGAGAGTGAAAGAGTGAGACACCAGTCTCAGTCAGGACAGGTCATCATCGCCTCATTTGACCAGAGTAGAAAAAGGTTGAATATGTTGTTTTCTGTACATATCATGACCCGTGATCTTTTCTTTGGTTAATTTCAGCTCCCTCGGAAGCTCCTGATGTCTGGAGAAATGTGAAGTCAGTGCAGGGACATTGTGTTGTGACTTTATTCTGGAAGGTAAGAGGCACATATCCCACAGGACACATTTGCTTGGCACTGCCTTTCAGGGGGACACTGGCTGCTGGTGCAGTGTTCTGGCTGGGAGCGACCCTAACCAGAGTCCAGCAGGACGTCTTCGGCAGTGGAGGAATCCCCTCCCCGCCGGTCTCCCTAATGCTCAGACTGCCTCCTCCTGGAAGCAGGACGCTCGGATGGCAGGTTCTGATTGCCAGCACCTGTATCTCTGTGACTTCTGTCCAGCCTTGCTCTCACTTTTGCAGGGCCCAGGGCACAAGTATAAGTGGAGAAGCAAATACTATATTTAAAAGCTATGACTATTTACATAATGGTCCTTACATATAGGAGTGAAGGGTCCAGCTAAAAAATCTTTAAATGTATTTTGATAGAAAAGCAAAATAAAATCTATTTTGTCACTCTGCCGTGTCTTTTAAGGCCTCCATGGCAACCTGGAAGTCCAGGCTTGTGTCTGAAACTCCCTGATTCCTCAGGTCATGTTTTCATACCAAACGTGACCATACCTGAAGGCTTGGCCCCCAGCTGTGGCCCACCTGGTTCTTCTTCTCACTTCCACGCCGGCTGTCCCCACGTGGAGTCCTGGCACTCACACGTGGGCAGGGAATTGTCTTAGACCTGCAGGATGGGCAGGCTCAGGACACAACTGCACAGGGACAGATGGCTGGAGGGGGAAGGGAGGCCAGGGGCCAGACCCCTCCTGCCCGGGTCTGCTCATCTTCTCCAGGCCGCAGAAGCCCCTTCATCTCCTGACTTGGCCACCCTTCTGTGGACACAACAGGCTCTTGAGGAGCTCAGAGAGTCCTGTTCTGTACCCAGCCTGAGTTACCGCAGAGTACCTGATTTCAAGCTTGCGTTAGACTGTTATTTTCTCTATTGAACTGTTTTTTAACTTGCTGCTGCTGCTGCTGCTGCTGCTGCCTTGCGTGTGTGTGTGTGTGTGTGTGTCTGTGTGTGTGTGTGTGTAAGGCAATCCAGGGCCAGAAAATATGAAAAGGGACTCGAACTCACAGAACTATGAAGAACTGTGAAATCATGACCTGAGCCAAAATTAAGAGTCAGCCGCTTAACTGACTAAGCCACCCATTTTGAAATGATTATCCATATTTTCTTTCAGCCACTATCAAAATTGCAGGCCAATGGGAAGATTCTGTTCTATAATGTAGTTCTAGAACATCTAGACAGACCATCCACCTTGAAGCTCCTCTCCATTCCTGCCCCGGCCAATGGCACAGAACTAATCCTTGACCAGTGTTCTTACGAGATCCACGTCACTGCTAATAACAGTGCGGGCTCATCCCCTGCTTCGGTCGTCATGGTGTCCAGAGACCCTGGAAGCAGTGAGTCTTGTTTTTATTCTGTGGGGCAGACGACGTTATTAAGTAGCGACAGACCAACTGGAAAGTCAGTAACCTGGGGGGACAAAGCGTCTAGCCGCTAAATACTGTTAGGCTTCTTCTTCTGGTCCAAGCGCGGTTGTATGTTTCCCGGAACGGCCCTCCTCAGTGCGAGGAGAGTGACAGTTCAGCCACAGCTCAGGACATTGCTGCCTTGGGATTCTCCAACAAATTCAGACAGTTACTCACATTTATTCAAGTAAATGAACAACAGTAAGCAGTCGTGGCTGAGAGCTGGGGTTGGTGTACACGTGCTTTGTGGCTTATGAAAGTGCAGGTCACGCTTATTGTAAGATATTTTGTCAGTTCTGGTCACCCAGAAAGAGCCCATGAGCATTGCCAGAGGTGAGGAGAACTGACTGGCATCATCTTTCCAGAAGGCTTTGCTGAGGCTATAGAATGAAAGATGGTAACTGGCTCATTCCTTAGCCTGTGAGAGGTGGAGATTACCTTACCTGGACAGTCAGTAGCGATATTAATTATCTTCTTGAGAGAGCTGTAAAGAGAGGTTGGATACACCCCCACCACCACCACCACAACACACACACGCACAATAACGTAGGAGACAATGCACGCTTCGCCAGTACATAACGGACACCATGTACTCGTTTGTGCACCTGTGGATAATGCCATTCTTCATCTCCCGCTGCGACACTTTCAGGTCCTGCTCGTGGGGCTACGGCATGTTGTATTATATCTGTCATTCAAGTTAGGCTTAAATTTGGGTTAAGAAGCTAGACAAGAGAGAAGCGTTGTTTGGTTTTATTTTATTTATTTTTAAAGAATGATCCAGTGTGTCACGTAAGAAAGAGAAATTAGGATTGTGGCAGAGAAGAAAAACTAAGGAGTTACTTGAGATGAGCTTTGTTTATCAAGAACTGCTTTGGAGAAGGACGTGACAACTTGTATTCTGTCTTCCTTAGGACAAAAGCAGGAAGAGTGGGCATTTCATTTACCCTGGGGTTGCTGATAGATAGAGGAATACTGACTGCCTTGAATGGGGCCCAGTCCAAACAACACTACTGAGCAATGTCATCTGTTTGGGGGTCTTCTCTATCTGTGGGTTCTTAGCGAACCTTCCTTCCTCATCTCCTGCTCTCAGACCTCCATGCCTTACCCTGTGAGGCTGTATCCAGCCCTCCTTAAGTGGCCCACATTCTTTTTTTTTTAATTTTTGAAATATTTATTTATATTTGAGAGAGAGGGAGAGACAGTGCATGAGTGGGGGAGCTGGTGCAGGCTCTAGGCTCTGAGCTGTCAGCACAGAGCCCAATATGGGGCCTGAACCCATGAGCTGTGGGATCAAAACCCGAGCCAAAGTCAGACACTCAGCCGACTGAGCCACCCACGTACCCCAGTGGTCCACATTCTGAAATCACTTCAGTAGATAAGGTCATCAATGTGCTATGAGGCCCCCCTCTCCCTGCCCCTCCCCCTCCTGTGGGCTCTGTTTCTCTCTCTTTCTCTCTCTCTCTCTCACTTGCTCAAAATAAATAAATAAATAAATAAACTTAAAAAAAAGTAGATCCAGTGACAGACCTGGGGTCAGCCAATTTTTCGGGTAAAGGGGAAGATAGTAAATATTTCAGTTCACAGACCATACTGCCTCTGTTCTGTAGTCTGTATTCTTTGCTTTTGGCCACTCTTTAAAAAACTTAAATCACAGGGCACGTGGGTGGCTCAGTCAGTTAAGCATCCAACTTTGGCTCAGGTCATGATCTCGCGGTTCATTGGTTCGAGCCCCACATGGGACTCTGTGCTGACAGCTCAGAGCCTGGAGCCTGTTTCAGATTCTGTGTCTCCCTCTCTCTGCCCATCCACTGCTCTCTCTCTCTCTCTCTCTCTCTCTCAGAAATAAATAAAACATTTTTTTTTAATTTATTTCTAGAAGAGAGAGAGAGAGACAGCATGAGTAGGGGAGAGTCAGAGAGAGAGGGAGTCACAGACTGAAACAGGCTCCAGGCTCTGAGCTGGCAGTCAGCACAGAGCCCGACGCGGGGCTCGAACCCACGAACCGCGAGATCATGACCTAAGCGAAAGTCGGACGCTTAACCGACTAAGCCACCCAGGCGCCCCTAAAACATTTTTAAAAAATTAAAAATATTAAACCTCTTCATAGCTCAAGGGTCACAACACAAGCTTTGGAGGCTGGATTTGTCCTAATGGCAGTAGTTTGCTGACTCTGGTTTTAGGGGCTGACGTCTGTTCGGGTCTCAGAAGATTAGAACCAGAGGTATTGTAAGGGCAGATGTGAATACTTGCTGGGAAGTGAGGGGCAGAAAATCACCCCTGAAAACATCACCCCACCCCTAAGCTTTCTTAGCCACTGAAGTGGTAGGGCCCCTAAATGTCAGAGACAGTACACGTTCAAGTCTATCTTCGTCTTTAAACACTTTTTTGAAAACGTACGATGAATCCCCTCTGAAGCCTGGCTGTATTTGTGATGTACAGAAGATGTTGGAGAAGAAAGAGTTAAAGGCACAAAGCGCGGATTCGCTCTGTCTTGGAAACCCCAGCCCAGAGGCGTCACAGGCTACGTTGTGGAGTGGTGCCAGTGCCCTGGGGACCCGCTCTGTGATCTCCGGTGGAAGAGCCTGGGTCCCAATGCCACAAGCACACTTGTCAGCTCAGGTAGGAAGAGCCCTCCGTATCACCCTCCTGTCCCACGCGCCTTGCAGCGAGCTCAGCAAGGACCGCCGGACCACCTCACGGATACTTGGTCCCAAACTAGTAATTTTGAGGTGGTGAAGCAGGCGCGGGTGCTAGGAGTTTAGTTTTGCAATGATGTGGTCTAAGATTTGGTCTTAAATCTCCTTTCACGGGGACTGTCTGGACCTAAGGCCGGGATAGGTTTTCGTGATTTTATGAATTTGTGCCTTGAAATCAGTGCTCTCAAATGCGTGGCAGAGGGACATTATAACCCTCCCTGTCTAAAGAGGTGTATGGATTTGGGAGACATTTAGGACATAGGGTAGGAGTAAGTCATCAGCTGCTTCACTTGGAGTGGAAAATATAGAACTTTCTCTCTTACCTCCATACTGGAGTTGTAATTTCAAGATTGCTCGGTCAGTGAAGTCAGAGAAGCCCCAGTTTGCCGCTGGAGTAGAGGGTCAGTAGCGCCATCTGCTGGGCTCAAGATAAAGCTGTGGAGATTGTGGGCATCCAGAGGGTGACGGAGGCCAGGGAGGAAATGAGGCTGCCCTTGGTGTCAGTGGCATGGCGGGTGCTGAAGGGGGATTGCAGAGGTGTGGGTGGGAGGGGAAAGCAAGGAAGTGCAAGCCAAGCCTTCCAGATCCTCAGCTTGGTGGGGGGGGGGGGGGTGGCGAGAGAAGACAAGTTGCTGCAGGGGACTGGAGTCAGAAGAGACTTTAAAATGGGTTTCTGTGCATGACTGAATTCTGCGCCCAATTTCATGCATGTGGACTAGATTGTGTTTGAGAGCACTTGTTGGAGAGAACGGTGTAGACACGGCTCCCTCAGGCCTAGCTGAAGACAGCGGACCCAAAGGCCAGCGAAGTGGGGAGGACCATGGAGGTGAAGTGCAGAAATCCCAAGGAGGAAGCCGTTTAGGAGACACCAATTCATTTTTCATTCTGTTTCTTTGCAGGAATAAAGAGAATGTCACTTTGTGTTACTGAAAATCTGTTGACCTTTCTTCCCTAGATGCGTTTAGACCAGGGGTCCGATACAACTTCAGAATTTATGCAATTTCTACAGAAAGGATTCCTTATTTATTAGAGAGAAAAACAGGATACTCTCAGGAACTGGGTAAGTTTACAGCCCTTGATACGTCCGTGGGCAGACTTGAGAACAATCCAAAGATCCAAGCTGTGGGTTTAGGAATATTTCAACACCTTTCCCAATTTTCAGTGCCCCACGTATTCTGGTGATTGGATTTTAAAAAATAATTTTAATCATAAACTCTGAACCATTTTCACTAAAGACAGTGTATGCAAAAGAAGAAGACACGCTCATTGCTAACTGTGCCACCCCAGAAAACAGATACCCAGAGTTAATACTTGATGTATATCCAGGTATTCCTCTCCCTGTACAGATAAACATTTTTAAGGAAAAATGGGACTTTATACAGTTTACAAAGTGCTTTTTTGACTCATGTCACTAAATATTATGTAACTATGTCATTGCAAAGTAATTAATTGTTCCCATCTGTCAAATCACCTGTCATCGGACATTTAGGATTACAGTGTTTTTCAGCTATAAACTATGAAGTTTACCTTCGGGTGTCTTTCTGTCTGCACTGCTCAGTGTCTTTCACCCTTCACCCCATCTCTTACACCCCATCTCTTACACCCCGAGTCACCATCATTGTAGTGAAAGCTTTGTCCACATCCACAATAATGGTTTTTAAATGAAGTCTTAGAGGTAGAATGCTTGAGTCAAAGGATTGAACTTACATAGTTTCTCATTTCTTTTACCATTTTTAAGACTTGTGACACATACTGAGAAATCACCCTCCAGAAATTTTACTGTGATTCCACGAGCCATGTGGAAGGCAATTTCTCTCCCACTGAAATCCAGGCACTGGGGACCTCCCCTGTCTTGCTCCAATGCACTCACCTCTTCCCACACCTCCGTGTGTGGGGGAGGGGCTGAGACTGCGCGATGGTGTGTCGTTGGTACGTGTGTCTCCGTGCACAGACCGGGTATGCACATGCCTGCTTGTGAAATGGGCTCAGGAAGCCTTCAGACTAAACACTCCTGGCTCGTTTCAGTGATGCTTGGAGAGCTTGGCACTAGTCACTCTGGGCACTAGAGTCCCTCAGAGAGCCCAGTCTGTTCCCTGGCAGGGTCTTCCGTCCAGCACCGCTTAGAATCCAAGAGCAGAATGAAGTCTAAGAAAGCCTTTGTTCTCTTCTTTGCTGTGTGACCTTGTGCGAGCCATTGAGTCTCTCTGGCCGTCCGTGTCTTCATCTGTGAAAGGCAAGACTCAGACCGGAAGATGGTTGGTTCACCTCCTTCCCAGCCTCACAAACGATGTCAGGGCATAAATCCCCCTGAGACTTACGCCCTGAAAAGTCCCGACCCGTGGGAGGAAACTCCTGAATGAGGCACGTGAGTGCCTGCTGTGGCCCTACTTTTAGTTTACGTGAGCGCGCTGAGAACGTTTCCAAGGGATGACTCTTCCTACCCCAATCTCCTTCCCCAGCTCCTTCCGACAACCCTCAGGTGCTCACGAGTAACCTGACCGCCTCCTCCTTTACTCTGAGCTGGAAGGATTATCCCGCCGAGTCGCAACCCGGTTTTGTACAAGGATACTCCCTCTATCTGAAGTCCAAGGCTCCGCGGTGCCTCCCGGGATCGGAGAAGGCTGTTCTTCCAGGTGACTCGTTTGTTTGGGTCTTTCCTCGTTCAAGGCTTCATGCTCTCTTTGGAACCCTCAGAAAGGCGGCCGCGTCTGGCCCTGGCCCGGCCGAATCCTGTTCTTGCATGCTTTCACGATCCAGAGTGTTCTTCAGCAAATCAGTGGGCAAGATGGCAGGGGTCAGTATTGTAACGTAATTAAAACAAAGTGCCTGGGATTTTTAGAAGCATTTAAAATGCCATCAGCTCCTTAAGAAAACCTGCCAGTTACGGGACTTCATCGCTGAGTCCTTTTTCTTTTTTTCCTTTAAAGGTCAAAGGCTATTACAGTATATTTTCAAGCCTCTCTCCTGCTCTGTCGCTCCCAGACTTGTGTGCTCCCCCTGGCTCACCAGCTTTTCGGGCCATGTGTTCAAGATTTTACCAATGACCCAGAGTGACGAAACAATTTAATTTTTGATTGGTGAAGATGTTGACGGTGCTGAGTCAACAGGAGGATTATTAGCGCCCAGCCCTGTCGTCAGATCTCTCTCGCACTCTTACCAATTATTTTTCTTGAAAAAAAAAATTTTTTTTTAATTACAGAAAATTCAGTATGTTGCAAATACAAAATTGACAACCCCAAACAGAAGACATTTGTCGTGGAGAACCTACAGCCGGCGTCCTTCTATGAGTTTTTCCTCACTCCGTACACCAGTGTTGGTGAGGGCCCCCTGGGCGCTTTCACAAAGGTCACAACTCCGGACGAATACTGTGAGTTGTGGAGACCAGGAGTTTTAAACCTTTCTTCTCTGCTTCTCTCTCTCTCTCTTTCTCTAGATGGGATTCTGTTTTACAGAAATATGTCGCACAGATTCCCACTCCATCCCATAGACGAGGGTGGGGCTAATCTGACTGAGACCTGGAACCTTCCTCTGGCTGGTCTCAGTGGCCCTCAGCCATTGTCTGGAGCCCAGTCCCAAATGGCTTGGAAATCACAGATGGCAGTTTTGTGTCTACATCGGAAGAGCCCCAGGCCCTCTGTCTAGGGGGGGGGGGGGGGGGGGGGGGGGGGGGGGGG